TAGAACTATAACAGATATGAATTAAAGAAGAGCGGAGCAAATAATGCTTAGTTGCTAGTATATTTTGTTAATTACCAACCCATGACCGAGGCACCACCTTCATCTAACTCTTCGAAAGAGTACACAACTGCGACCCTCAATTAATCACATCATTTCCTTCAATTTCTAATCCGCGCATCCACTAACCACTAAAAAAGCCATCATAAGTGATGTGCTGCACACTGCCTCAAGAATTTCCTCAGGAGACGAAGTGAACTCAGAGTCGGTACAACACACGCATGGCAAGGACAAAAAGCCACGAAACATCAGAAATGACATCCCGTCACAGACGGAGGGTGGGGCACAGAATCGTCACGAGTATGTGAAAGCAAAAACTCCATTTCGTTTCTCACTTATATGAGACGAATGAAATGTGACCATACGATCACGGGTGAGAAAGGCAGGTCTTCGGGACACGGTGAAGTTGTGGATGTCCTCCTCCCCTCCCCCGAAGCCCGAACCTCAATCGACGACTATCTACTTAGGCAGGAGGTTTTCTTGATAAAGAGAAGTCAGGGGTGTATATAGGGTGTCCGGGAGATTTCGATAAAATTTTGCTTCTCAACTTTGAAAGCATTTTTCTCGCGCACGCCATAAAGAAGGCCTATAGATAGCAGGGAAAAGGGCATTGTTGATGGATCAATACTCTTTCTGAACAGTATTCGACGTGGTCGTTCAAAGCAAGGGATCGTGGACCGAAGTATATGCTATCTATACGACTACCGAAGCCTTCTGCATCTCCACTACGAAACTGATTGCTCAGGATTGGAGCGAGATTCGGCGAGTGATCGGCAGCAGTGATCCAATCTTGTCACCTACCGTAAATGACGCGATCGCTTCCAGCGAGAAGAGCTTTGCTTTGACGAAGTTTGTCGAATCGAACGTCCACTGTCCTCAAATACAGTCATAATCTGTCCTCCCGTCACAGCAGCCCTATTTAAAGTGGTAGGGTTTGAAAAAAACAATTTCTACTACCCAATCCACCATCGACGACAATCTCCGCAGGAGTATCTTTCAAAGCAGGATTCTTTGCAAATATCGCACATCCTCGAAAGAGCAGGAGTGTCTAGTGCGAGTCAGTGTGTGTCAGGAGCTCCTCGACTGTAAGCGACAATATCAACCAACTTATCATTGCTTAGGATAAAAAGTAGATGTCATATGAAAATTCACACATGAAAGTGCTATGCCTACCAATGGTTGTAAGGCCACAGCTCGCTATAAAGCGAGGCGCTCACAATGAGTTCATTCTTCCTCTGCTCAACCGGGTGTTTCACCGTGAGATCCTACCACAGTGCACTGTGGTAAGCGCAAGAATATGCTGTTACAAATGAGAGTGATGGTGTTTCGATCCCCCATTTCACACCCATTACAAGTACAAGCAAATTTTCGATTGTGTTGGTATACTTGTATACCCGATCCTCACATATTCATCTGATCTTAGCCCATAAGACTGCCATATTTTCAGAAGCGCACAGGCCTGCTCTACACAAACAAAATTACCAACTGTCGAGAAGTCAAGCACTGAAATGAATTGAGTCACGCCTCTCTACATACTGGAGGAATGGCATCAATGCCCAGTCCAGTTGATGGAGACACATTGTGGCTAGGAAGGGCCACTACCTTGATCACTGATCATATTTATTGCTGTAGTTATTTTGTATTGAAAAACCAACTGAATTTTCTCAAAAATTCGGACACCCTAATAAAGTAATTGCTAGGAGGTGATTGGGAAGGGGTCATCGGCGCACTCTACCTTCTGTGGTTTCTGGGACGCTTGATCCACGTAGTCAGCCCTTCGAGGGCCCTTGAAGCGAGTTGAGCCGAGATCAACCCTTCGTCAATTACTGGCTCGCAACAGTACATAGTTTACGCCCCTTTTCAACTTCCTCTGTATTTTGAAATGGTGATCGAAATGTTTTCTGAATGGCTTCTGTCTTTCCAGGCTCCGAGGGAGGCGAAAACGTTGGCCGTTCAAAGTGTTGTTGAAATCTCGGTTGCACATTTTAGAAAGTTGAAGTCACATCCAACTTATGATCAAATTCTAATGACATTCAGAGCTCAACTCTCATATAGTGACTTTTTGTTGTCATTCTATTAGCCGAAGCGCAATTCCAAGTCAAAGCCGATGTGTCATACCGGCAAGCGTTGTCATCATTCCAGACGAACAATCGCACGAGTTCGATCCCACCAAAACTACTCATGGAGGATCACACACATGATCCCGGATTTGATCCAGGATCATGTGTGTGATCGCAACATTACATGTCATTTTAACATAAGTGTTTGAGCGATTTCTTGTCCTTCGAACCTCGGTCGACAATATGGCTGCACAGGAGAGGTGCAGACAAGCTCAGCTAACGCCTGAACGTCTTCGTTCGCTTGTTTGACGACCAATTCATTTATGAGCTCTTCTATCCATTAGCTAATGATCTTGCCCAGCTGCTTCATATGGACTACGCCAGACGTAACGAAAGACCTTCCCCTTTTGTTCCATCTGAAGTCCACCTTAGTTGATGTAATCGACAACTGCACCTATCTTCTACTACAACAGTAAGGCTGAGTAATTACCTAGGTGCGCTGATCTCTCTAAGCAATCAGGTAGTCTCGCTTGTGCTGGTGCCTTTTGAAAAATTTCGTTAAGTTGAGCTCAGGTGGATTTGATGATATGTTATAATTTCTGCGAACAGCTCTGTCAAACAATTACTTTTACTCCTTCGCATGGACAACCTAGTGATACTCAATTGAACTTGGACGTAATATAATACAAGGGTCGAAACTCCAATCCTTATCAAAACTTGCAGAGAATGGAGAAATCGTAGAGATCGCTCGAAGTATCAATTTCAACTTGTCTGGTGCTCAGTCACAGAAGGATAGGCCTCCATCGAAGAAAAGTTTGGAAACCCTTTTCCCATAAACTTTTGCAACAGAAAGCGGATCGGAATAAATACAGATGGTAATAAAATGCCAATAAAAGAAAATGTGGGGCCATTGAAACGACTATCTTCTGCATTCTAGCACGTTATTTGCAGAAAAACATTCATTTCCCCTGTAATTGCGTAAATGAGCCAAATCCAAGTAGACGTCGTGGGAGGGATTCCGTATAGCCTTAAATTTGAGGATAGCGGGACGAGCTCACTTGCAATCGTCTATTGCAAAGGATGATACACATTATTCAAGGTGATTGAAAAGGTTTGATAGGGGGTTTTTTTTGAAAAGCCTGGAACCCTCGATTGTAGATCCATATCCACGATAAACCATGTGATAGTGGTGGGACATCCTCAAAACTTCTCCGCAGAAGTATATGAGGCATGTGTGCTTCCCTGAGTACGATGTCAATTTCACCGAACTATCTTCGTCTTCTGTGGCTCCTTGGCTCTGGAGCGACAGCGACACTCCGAAACGTCAGCAGCGCCTTAGCAGAAGACACTACGCTTATCGCCAACGCTTACTACTACGATCGCTTTGCAAAAGGGGATACGAGGCTACCTTCGCAATTCAGGGATAAGACAGTTGTTAAGCGCCTCCAGGCCTTCAGCTATTGAAAAGTGGAGACTAGTGGCATCCCTCATACCTTGACGAATGGTATTCAGTACACTCGGGTATTCATGTGTCAATCTCTCCTTCACCGCTCCCAGGGCAAGGAGTTTCTGTAAGACCTCGTTACGGAAGAAGAGACTTAAATTCTCCATCACTTGAACTTACTCTGCACGCCGTACCTGACCGCCCGAAGGAGAAGAGCCGCCAACGCAAGCGAAATCAGACACGAACCGAAAGGAGGCTTCTTTTACGTTGCTCCTGGGGCTCGAGGGGAAATGTTGTGTTACGAGCTGCTTTCGCAAGGGGATGAGGTCACCACTTCCGTTAATGCTACTCAGCCTCGAAAACCATTCGGGAAGAACGAACTTCAGTGAACTTCAGTGAACTTCCTTCATGCCAGCACCCGACCCCATAAATCATAGATAAAGATAGACACCAAAATACTGAAGGGCTAGGCTGGAAAACCGCACGCATTCTAATATCCTCCTGACATAGACCCTCCGAAGTGTCGCTTGCTCCGAACTATAATGTCTTTTTTTGGCTGGGAACACCTTCGCAAAGTTTGATAACTTATGTAGGGGGTCGCTGATTTCCTTGAGTGGCAGTCTCGCCAGTTTTAGAAAAAGGGGATCGCTGACCTCAGTAGAGACCAATAATTGTGAGTATATTGACCACTGATTACCATCGTAAACATAGAGAAGGAAGACGTGAAACCCTATCAAGACTCTGCGACCAACCTACCTGCCTTGTTGGAAAGGCACGCATTGGCAAGGTTAATGAAGTTGATTCATCTTTATATACTCATAATCACTTATCCAAAGTCTCGTGGCTATGAGTTAACGATTAGTTCAATTTGTTGCCCTGAGTTCAACCAAACCATTGAAGAGCTTCAATGTCCACTGATTTTCCTCAACTTCCTTATCAGGTATGATAACCTGCACTTTCACCTCAGTTACCAATTTCAATGCTGCCCAAAAGAATGAACTATTCCGCACGGGATAGCAAATTCTTGTGAGGCGATTTGAAGGAGCCCTGGTTGACTTGCAAAATTTTATAAAGGAATATTTGCGACATCTGATCCATCAGAGTATCATTTTTTCTTAAACCATAACTTCAGACACCATAAAACGGATCGTCTGTGAAGAACTATGCGTGCGCTTTCGCAACTCCCTCTTTCGCCCCTAACAATTTTGTGAGGGCCAAGTCAAGTTGATCATTTAGAATCAAGCCAGTAGTTACACCTTTCCTCAGCTATTTCGCTTTTCCCCCGAAAGCATATTTCTTTTATCAATTGCGAAAATCCTTTTACCACACAATTGTTCCTGACCCACATTTGGTCAGCCTGCGTGGCTTTATGTTTGCTGATAACGAATATTAACAAAAAGATATACGGCTGCCTCGAAGAACCTCAAAAACGGATTTGTTTACCATAACAACTTCCTCCTGTGACTCACCCTACTCCAAATGATGGCTCGCAGCCGCCGTCTGAAGTAAACTGATGACATACAGAACAGAACGAAATTCATCACCTAAATAAAATGCTTTCTCCATCGTAAGACTGTCAACAGTGGAAAAGTATCAAACCTTTCCAGTGAGTAACCACCCGTGAACTACGGGACCGAGTTCAGGCATTAGTCGACGGATGAAGTCCCGTTGAGATGGGGTCATTATTGGTGAGATAAGTTCGAGAATGAACGGAAGCGTTGACGGTGTCTGAAATGATTGACACGATGGGAGAAAACAATGGAATTGAACGGCTAAAGAACGCTAAAAGTGCATTAAAGAGTGATTCTAACTTGAAGCCTGCTTCTTGAAAGGTTCTCTCAGAGACAATGCTTTTCTCCTCGAGTGAATAGACACAAAACGCAATACCGCAGAATTTATACAGATACAGTCCCATACTGCCATTCTTCACATTATATCACTTACTACCAACACGTATCATCCATGTCTACCATTGCATTTTGAAGCTATACAAGAACTGGCAAATGTTTCCTGGAGGCACCACCTTCTATGGTAGACCTCCGCCTGCCATGAACGTGACCGTTCTTGAAGGCTGTGAAGGTTCACTGATTTTTCTCAATGTCTTGGACATTGTGGGGCCGCTCGAACCGCTTGTACTGGTTCTACACACCGTGAATTACTGGTTCTATCGATACAAAGAAACCATTTGTTTTTTCCAGTATCCATGTTGTCCCGGAACCAAGTTGAACACCTTTTCTAAAATAGTCTGCTCAACTGATTTGCCCTTTCTTAACCTATACTTTTCAGTCTCCTTTGTCATAGTTTCTGAATTTTCCCAATAATCTCCGCCTTTAGGAACTCGAAAATGTTGTTGGCTCCTTTATCCTGTCTGTGAGCCCATTGCCCGCCGTTACAGGTTCATGTTAAACTTGGAATGTGACCTACTCAGCCCCAAGGTGCCTCGCCTGAAATATATGGTATCATCTCTTCTTCAGCTCGGCTTAGGGTACCTACTTTTGAGAGTAGGCTGCACTCTCTATGAAGGGATCTAGCTAGTTTCAGATGTCACTTTGTGCTCAGCTAATCTACCCCAATTTCTGCAGGTTTCCAGGCTGTGTTAGACGGTATAATGAAGCAGTTTAGATTAACTGGCTACAGCGGGTCGTCTTCTACACTCTCGCAGCTCCCCCTCCCCCTCCTCTCCTCTTTCCGACTTCCTGGCCTACGATCTTATTACTTTAACTATTACTAGTACTTCACGACTGCTCTGTTCATCTTGACCTACCCATTCCAGTCTTATCCAAACCTCTGCTACTGTGGCTTTGGATGCCGCCGCTTCCATGACAGGCAGGCAGGCAGGCAGGTACTTAACGAGACAAAGTAAAAATCTTATATGGGATCAAGATAGTTCCCCATGCTTTCGACTTTTCGAATTTTTCGGAAAAGTTCAACAAAAAAAAACTCATTACATGGGTCAAAAAGAAGCAGGCGATGATGGCAAGCACAGTGATCGTGACTTTTCGATCGCGTTTCTGGCGAGAATCGGTGTCTCTGAAAGAATTTAGTGAAAACTTTGTGGGGCGAAAAAATGGACACTCCTGAGCTTACCTGAGGAACTCATCATTAGGATCATCTATGCTACTCTTGGCTGATCTGGTGACTAGAACGCTACTCCGCCGCAGCACCAAAATGATTTTCAAGTTCAGGACGACAATGCCAATCAGTGGAAGAATCACTACCAGAACTATTTGTAGTGTCTTTAGAATTGTCACAACGCGTACTTGGAGACTGGAGATATAAGGAACCAGCTGAATGAGAGAGATTAAGTCTATGTGACTAGTGAGGTATACGAAAATCGGACTTACGCGATCGATCGGAACAAGTTTTCCGTAAGTGAGCGTTCCGTTGCACATGGTGGCATAGCCGTACTTGTACTCGAAGTGATGAAAAGCTGTCAGCGACAGGCTCCCCACTATTACAATAATCATCAAATATCGTACTCTCGATTCTCGCCACTCCCCGCGTGCGTGCATCGGGGAGGAGATTCCCAAGTATCTGAAAACATCTTTTGCACTTAACAAACAAACATTACGAACAAACAAGGGGACCAACTCCTAGACTCCTCTACTATTTACTTATTTATTCTTATTGTCAGATCTTGCTCTAGAGAAAAGATGATGATTTGGCCTTGCTGCAGCATTGAGGTTGCTCAGGTGTGAACGGCTGACTAAGCACATGTAGCTACTGCAGTGCCGTATGTTCTAATAGCTCAGGAAGCGGTGACCGAGAGATTTCCCTGNGGCGGAGATCGATTCATTGAATCTGATCTATATATTGTGTGCTCCAACCTATCACTTTACATTTGAACTTCCTCTGTATCTAGTGGCTGTGGTGGTGGCGACATGGCCAAGTGCTCAGGCCCATTTGATTTATACTTTCCCGCCGTAGGCATAATAGCCTCAGGGATTAGTAATTCTGACCCAACGAGTGTTCTCTATTGTATGCCCTCTACACAGAGATAACATCGCTACTTCGAATTTGCTCATTGCCTCGACTAAAAATTCAAAGCTCTGGCAAACTCCAGTTTCAACTTCTCGTGTGCGAATCCCTGGAAGCAAAGGTTCATGACACTGGATAGAGGTGCGGGAATAAGAATATGCTCCCTCATTTCTAAAGCTCGTAATTGCTGGGCTGCTCCCAGAACGTGTGTGGGATCCTGCATCCAAAAGGCGTGGCGATTACACTTGTCGCACCCATCGCGTGCCAGGACGCGCAGTGGGATGGTAAGATTTTGTTTTCCCATTGGAGAATCATGGAATTGGCTGCAAAAACACTGCCACGTGCAACCACGGAAATTCGGGTGAAATTCTCCCATAAACTGGCATGTAGGAAAGAGAAAGGAGCATTCGTAATCTGACAAAATGTACTTTCGAAGTATAGTTCCCGAATGACGTTTCCTAAGTCGGACATTTTCGATTAGGGTGCCCTACTCACCTTTCCACGGAGACAGCCAGAATCAGCCACGAAGTGATGCACGAGAAAACGTTGGAGAACCAGTGGCGCATCGTGTGCGAGTGATAGTAGAATCTCCTAAAAATTTCAAAGCTCTGACTTGAAATAATGATCAGCATAGTTGAAGAGCTACCTGAAATAATCGTTGGTATAGAATGAGGGCCAAACTCCTAGGGCAGCAGGTAGCATTGTCAAAAAAAGTAGAATATCAGCGATGGCTAGGGCAGAGAGAAGATAATTAGCCTGGAATACAGCAATCTTTCTTGAGGTGGTAGCTAGTAATGGGGCTGGCTCACTTACCTCACTTCGCATGTGTCGGCTAAGAAGCACACAGAGGTTCAAAGCATTACCAATCACTCCCAAAAAGAACTGAACAGGGAATACGTACACGTAGAAGGCGTTCATGCCTCCCGTAATTAACGGCTTGTACATCTCCGGGCAAGTGCCATTTACAAACTAAACGTACGGTCAGTTAGAACCGTAAGGTTTTCCCACAATTATCTCTCAGAAATTCCTGCACGAGTGATTTGTATTTTAAAATAGTTCTTATTTGAAGTAACCTGCTGCATTACAGCGAAAAGCAAGCTTCGTTAGTCGTATTGTTACGATGTTTATACATTCGCCGATATTTTTTTTTCGGAAAACAACTGATAGGATGTGTGAAGTTATGATACTTCATCGAGGGATAGCTGAGGTGCTTTACTGCTTTTCGGCGATTGCAAAAGCTGGAAAGGTTCCTCCTCGCCAAACCACAATACCCCCATTAACTTGTTTACTTGAAAATTAAAACTGAAATGATGGATCAAATGGAAGGAGTGACGATTGGAATCCCAGGGCTCAGGAAATAAGCAACATGAGGTCCACTTCGAGGCAATGTTTCACAGCACATGGGCCAATCGAGGTTCAACGCTTGCTGAGATTTGCTTCATAAAATTTATTGTTTATGCTAAGGAAATGAGGGTTCTAAAGACCCGCATAACCCTTGAAAGGCACTCTAGTTTCACGTTAACGAATTCAAGGAAAAACTGTTTTCATCAATTACTGCTTACAATGAATTTGGGAATGTTCTCATAAGTCCTAAGGGGTATGCAGAACTATGTTCTCAGCTAATAGTTGCCAAAGTAAGAAGGAGAACAACCTTTAGAAAAAACCATGGAATGCCCGAATGTGGCGATCATACTCTGCCGTGCAGGTTTTCAGTAAGTTCCTCTTACATACTCCATTACTGATTGACTGGCACAAACCGGTACCCAAGTCGTTCGCCACCCTGATTTCACCGTGAGATCAGCTTGCAAGGGTTAGTTCTTCATGAACGTGGTTTTCAAATGAAGAAATAGAGAACTTGGAGGTCAACTAGGGCAAGGTAATTCGGAAGCTGTAAGTTGAAAGCATTGTCACTGATAGACTACCGCTCAGATTTGTCAATTTCACGGTTACGTTGACACGCAGTATTATGCACAGTCGAAATGGTCTCACAAAGAAAACTTCATTGTTTTTCGATGACGATTCCTCAACGCTTCAGACACAGATTTTCCCAGAGGAAAGAGAAAACAAAATTCAGCACACGAATTCTCTGCCACTCTTAGTCGGCTCTAAACGTTCAATGGCGAACTGTGGAACTCCGATTGTTTTTTGTGGTTGCTGCAAAATATCCACTTAATGAGTACAACATTTCCTACTCCCCCTAAGCATTACATCGTTTTTTCTTTCCGCGGGGATGGCAACCACTGACATTACTGTGATGGTAAACAATTAGCGGCTGTAGCTTCATGAAAAGCGACTTCTGTAGTTGCACGTGGCTGCTCAGAATCTAAGCGGTAATGAGTTCATTGCAGAGATCTTCAAATCTGCCCTTCTTGAATGCGAAAGATAAGAAGAATAGGATCAGTTGCGACAAACATGAAGTCTAATTGCTTCAGGAGAATTGTTTGAGTCAAGAACTCACAATATTTTTCGCCGCCCATACTCGAACATCATAGTCGAGATCGCCAGTGATGATCATTCTGAAATCGATCAAAATAATACTGGGCCGAGGATTGCTCTCAGTCAGTCTGGGCAAAAGACAGGGATAGGGGAGTGGAAGCACGACACCCGCCCTAACGGCCTCGTGCAAAAGGCTTTTAATGAAAATCAAACGCGAAAATGAGTCCCGCAACAATGTTTAATCAAATAGATTGCCTGAAGACGTGGTCAAATATGCGCGAGACTGAGGCTTCTCAGAAATTCTCAGTGTGTGGCGGTAAGGGCTGGGGCCGCGTGCAGTTCTCTGATCCGAGGGACTTTTATATCGTGATGAGTACTGAGAAATTAACCGAGCAATCCATAGGGATTCATGCTGGTACAAAGAAGTCTCCCCGTAAACTCCCACCTCTAACCTCCTGGAAGCTCTAGCAAGGCATTTATGAAATCAGATGGTCAAAGAGAAAATGAAGGGAAGGTGCCAACACTCACCTACGTTGGTCTGACATGTTGTGGGGAACGTTCTTCAATCTGAAATGAGAAAATCACAAAATTGCGTAACCGAAAAAGACAGCAGACAAACATCGAGCCACAACTTCAATTAGGCCCGTCAACATCTCAGTCAGAAGTACTTTATGGGCGGAAAACGATATTGCGACTAAACAAAATGAACACTCCTATCATTATATCGCTTCCGACTCACGCCTGCTACGAATTCACAGATCTTTGTGCAGAATGTTGTTTGCTTGCTTATTATTTGCGTTGCAGTGAAGAGCCATACTTTCGAAAACAAGCCAGTTAGGCTTGATTGCTCTAGAAAGTGATTTATCTCATTAAAAATTCAATTAACTCATTTATGAAGCTCGGAAATCATCCTTCTACCGAGTTCCTAGACCAGTCCCTACCGAAGCAATGATGTGAACTCTTACGAAACGGAAAATGAAATGGGGCCTCATGAGATTGCTTCACATTTGGATGCTTTAACGATAGGAATCAACAAAAACTGGGAAGAAATCCATTATGGAGCCTTTTTTTGCGGCAACAACAAAGACGCGCTTTGGCTACGACATGTTTCAAAAAAAAANAAAAAAAAACGAAAAACAGTGGATCGACCTTCATATTAGTCTATGATGCGGTGGAGGAACCATAAATTGAAGGGAAAGATTGGGAAAGTTGAGCAGAAAAACCTCTTACCTTCAGAGATATCCCAAACGGAAAGGAGATGCTCGGCATGTGCATCAGTGAAGGCCTTTGAGAAGAAGCGAGTTCGCTTAACGATCGGCCTTCTACAAGGTAATAGAAAGGATAAAGTAGTGGGCTGCTCCCAAGTACGAAGGCGTTTCAAGGGGAAAGGGCACAAAGGGATCGTTGCTCGCGGAAGTTGTTGCTGCAGTTCCAACAAAGAAGCGAGAAATTTCGGCAGATCTTTTCGTTCATCAAGGTGATTTCCTTCGTAATCGCAAAATGTCACTACCAGCCCTTACTGTTTATTCTCGTGAATCATCACTATAAAGAGTGATCTACTCATTTGAAAAGAGCTGATTTCGAAAGTAAATTTTTGCAAATGCGCACAAATTCAGAGGGATTTCCGTACAGATGACTCTCAGAAACGAAGAGGAAATGTTGGAGACTCGACGAGACCAAGCGTGAGGTACAAAATTGAGAACGAAAGCAGGCAGCATGCCTCCCGCGGATTATTGATATTCATAGATGCTTTTTCAGAGGTGTTTTCGTACTATCTGAGTTGAGCGCTTACGTTGAAAAAAAGAAGCTCGAAGGAATCCGATGAGGGAAGCATTAATTAAGCCGTCGGATGGGCGGGCCGTAACTCTTCACCTTTCAGGATCGCTTTAAACTAGACAATCCATACAAGGGATCCTGTTTCAGGAATACTCGTTAACGAGTGAATATCTCGAAAGTCTCATGGTATTTCCATTGTCGGCGAGGTTGCAGTTCCAGGTTTTTACAGTGCGACTGTCAAAATGTCAAAAGCAATTTTCTTAAAAGTATAATTCGAGACTTCTAAATTCACGCAAATCATGTCACCTTTACCCGGTCACAATTGGGCTGTTTTCCAGGAACATAGCCACAGTCAAAAAAATCTGCAGCAAACGTGGAAATCAGATGGAAGGCGCACTCCAGGAAATACTTGGGATCGAAAGAGAAGAGGATTTGTGGGCTATATAGCAAAGGGAGACACCTTCTCATATGCTCAATATCCTCTTTTTTCCACGTAATCCCAGACTATATTTGCAGTACGAGCGAAACCCTTTAGGTGTTTGGTGGTTCACGTCGACCCCCTTATTTTCCCTTTCTTCTTTTCTGTCTCGATCACCAAACGGTCATCAACTTTTCACTGAACTCTCATATGGCCGTTCGGTGAGGAACCTCCAGCCTAGCTCTGGCCTATAGATCTTTCCTTCTTTTCTATCCTACAGCTGGATGCCTCGCTATCTTACTTTAAGAGGCATATCATTGTCCCTTCGAGCCCTCTGCATATCGCCCCATAGTTCTTAAGGTCCACAAAGGAATGTTCATTTGCGATCACTCAAACTCCTGGTTTTATCTGGCAAACATATTTTACTGTGTTTAGCCGAGGCGGCTATCTACAAGAAACATAGAAGGGAACATCAAATGGGAACAGTAGAAACGGAAGAATCGATTTCTTATACATATTGCAGATTGGTGCATAAACCAAAGCACTTCCCAGAATGGTGATGTATTCAAAGAAGGAATCCCCGAGATGCAACTAAGGAGTGTCAGAGTCAATGAGGTTTTTACATGAACCTTTTATTGGCGCCTTACGATCTGCTGAAAGCTTACAACTTTTTCACCTATCGGCTCAATGCAGTCATGAGAGGCTACAAATTCCTGAAGAGCACTAGACGATCTCAACAAAAACGACAAATTTGTATCGATTATCCTATTCAAGAGGAATTTCTGTTACTAATTTGGAACATCCAACTGACCAATATTCTCGACGATTTGAGAAGGTTCGTGTAGACAGATGCAGTTACGAGAGTGGAAGCTTGCTGTCAGAAGTGACATACGACAGCCAGTCGATTAGAGTTCCCCACCCATAGATGAATTCGTACTTGTCAAGTTGTCTTCATTGAATGATAGGCATAATGTTTGCTTACTTCTCACCAAAACTCATCATTGAACCTACTAAATACCAATGTTTTCGACTTTTCAGCCTCGTTTGAGTTCCATTATTCGTTATGATCATCCGGACTCCAAAGTCGAGACGTATTCTGTTTATTTCCAGCTTTCACCTTTGTCAGAGGGCAGCTTACATGATGAAGGAACTTTATGGATCTGGTTGAAGATAGAATCCCATCTGTTGGATGATTACCCAACTATACGAATCCTAAGGAAATTGCACTTTCACTTGAATGTCGTTTTACTAGTCGGGCATTGTTTTCTAAGTTTAAGTGCCTATGATCAAGGCATATGGGTGAAGTGTCCCATAA